GTAAAAAGTAAATAAAAATAACTCAAGGAACATGAAAAAACCCCGCTCGAGGAACGGAGAACATGGCACCTTTTTCACTTCTTGCTGATGATGCATTAGGAAGGTCGAGCCTGTGCAGCAGGGCACACGTCCTGTTCCTACCTTTGCCTTTGTACCAACAGGTGTGTGCGGGGTTTAAGTGATGTCTTCCTAACTTCAGCATTTATGACAGCAACACCACTGACATTTTTAGAAACAGTTTCACTTTTGGGGTTTTTTTTGTGTTTGTGTGTGGGTTTTTGTTTGTTTGTTTGAAGAGCAACGGAACGTGAGCTTTCTTCTCCAAGAAGCAGCAGTGATTACACCAAAAGCTGCACCACGTGACATCGTTCAGGTATCATCAGAATCGTTTCATATCTGTTGAAATTTATTCTAGCAGATGAATTTCACGAAGGCATCTGCAATTTTCTCTCCAGCACTCCCTTTGGCAGCACACAGGTCGTTGTCCTGAGCTGACACTACCAGCATGTAGGGAGTATTTTCTGCCGTGGGGGAAATCTTACTGAATAGAGAGAAACCAAAGGTCAGCAACATGCTGAACGTTCATACACAAACATCAGGTAAACCGTGACACGCCTGTTAGCTTGGAAACTATACGGACAGTGAGAATTCAGAATTTTACATGTTTCCATGAAGCTAAGTTGGTACGAATAAAAAGTAGTGTAACTGGCTTACTTGTTATCGTTGTTTAAATAACAACTGGTTTTGCCTTGGTGCCTAGACCCTCAATTTCCACATCTGCCTCCCCTGCCAAGGATCCCTCTTTGTCCACAGCTTGCTGAAGAATTCACAACTCTCCTCAGAACCCTGAAACTCAAGTCGCTTATGTGCAAAATCTGAAGGGGACTGCACTGTCATGGACTCTTACAGAAACCGATCCAAATCGTGCTTCCCTACGCAGGTATCACTAGTATCTGGTTCGTGAAAACCTTACTAGCAGTCCGCATCATACTGGAAGACAATCGCCAGTGTAACGGCTTTGCAGCTCCCAGTGGCCAGCTGTGTATCACAGGTATCATCCCAAAGAAGTGCAGACAGTACGAAATTCTTTGTTTCCTACTTGTTACAGTCTGTCATCAACTTTATTCCGTGAATTCTATAAGCTTGTTTCTACAGCCTGGAAAATGAAGTCTTGTTTGTAAAACTAATTTACTTCCGTATTTCACTTGCTTTCATCTTATTACTTCAGAGGGGATTGTTGCACATATGAAACAAAACAAAATTTCAGTGGCACTGATGAACCATGATTTTAGGGATCTTGGCTCTCTTCAGTGTTTGGAAAGGCAAGGGCTCATCTTATTTTTAGAAACTATAGCAAGGAATCTTTTGTTTTCTCTGCTTGACTAAACGGTACAAGCTTCCACAATGCTCAAGAAATGACAACACTGCCATTGTCCCTCCATTATTCTGAAGTTGTTAAGAACCATGTAAAATTAACGGTTGATCTAGCTGAGGTAATCAAAGAGTCAATGCTACGCAGCACAGTCCTACCACCTACAATGCTTTTTTTTAAAAAACAGGTATCTCATAGCAAAGCAGTGCAGAACTTCATTTTCTCCGGGCCTGGGTGAAGTACATTGTTCAAATACTTTTTTTTTTTTTTAAGAAAAATATTGACATAAATATTCTAGATTTGTTTTCCAAGATTGTTTCCTGCACTCCCCTTCTGATCCTTACTTGCTGGGTAAAAATTGCCAAGGTGGATTCACAGCTCTAGTGAATGTTTTGACAGCTTGGACGTGTCCTTTTTGTTCGCTATCATTTCCAGGCAGGAGTTGTATGGAGTTTCAGAAATTGTTTCTGGCGTGTTGGCGGGGGGTTGGTTCTTATCAATCTAAACAAAACCTTCTGTGTGTTATTATCTTAGTGCAAACCTGAAGCTTGGATGAGAGCAGATACAGAAGTAACTGGACTGTTTCTAACATTATTTTCTCACTTGGTCACGGCTCTCAGCCTGATCCCAAACACAGCTGTTTCTGCAGATGAGAACAAAGCCCTAACAAGTAAACTACTTACCAGAGCATCTGTGGCTCTTTCATTACTCGGTAGCTATTCTTTTGACACCACACACTTAAATGTTCAGTGTCCTAATGTTTTCTCTGCTTACCCTGGAAGGTCTTCAACAAAGGACAAAAATAATAACCAACTTATGGTTCTAATACAGGCAGGAAGAATTTAATTTTACCTGTTCACACAAATACTCTACTATTTCTCATCCAACATTGCACAAATATATCCCAAGCTGAAAGACACGGTCAGATTGCCGAATGTATTGAGCTATTACAGTCCAAGAATTAGTTTTACCTTTATTTTCATGTACAGTTTCAGAATATATAAACCATAGAAAATGGTAGGTTTTAAAGGCATATCAGGTAGAAAGAATATCCTAAAATACGTTTGTCTTGTTAAAACTCTAGTTCCAACTGGTTTGGTGTTTGTTTTCTTGGTATGCAGAACACTCCCAACTGTTCTGTGTGGCATCGTGCGTATGCTGCTGTTTGTACGCACGCTTTTCACTTTTAATTTAAGGGACAAAACTTTTACTGTAGAATTAAGCTGTATGTTCACGTATATATACTTCTTTATTTTAAATATTTGCTCTATAAATGACCCAAGCATTATCAAGGCAAGAAACTGAAGAAACATCTCTTCAAGTCAGTGGCATAACAGCTTTACTTACAATTTTACATGACCGTCTTCTAGATATAAGCTTTAATCCATATTTGCTTAAGGATTTTCTTTACTATTTCATGTTTGAATACAACTAGCAAAATGCCCAGATAATAATCTATATTCAACCTTACACCTGCATCTGCTTATTTCAGAGAAATACTGCTTGCTAGAAAAATTCAGGTTTTGAATCTGAAACAAACTCAGCAAACTGCAGAAACACTTTTTTAAAAAGTAGGTTGATAATTCTCGAAATTCAGAGCGCTCCCACTAAGAGAAAAAACCTGACAAAACACTACCCTCATGCTAGGCTGGTGAGAATGCATTTTGCTCAGACCAATTTGCAGGTTTTTTATTATTACATTTAACGTGTTGTTCTCATCTAATTTCCTAACAGTCTTGTTGGGCTTTCTTAGACAAGTAGTACATGGCAAAGCATTTTAGGATGTTCAAGGAATGGAGATGGAACTATATGATCTATTACTCATGTTGGAGACAGTTCCAATGTATTTATGCAATGGAACATTTACTTTGCAAGAAAACCAAGGATGAATTATCTGAAGGAGTGGGTCAGACCATCAGCTGATGCAGAATGCAGCAAGTATGGTTTTTAGCAGAGCTACGCTACTTTGTAACAACAAATTTGTTCTACACTGAGGTAAGAACTTTATTGCCTGTGTGTTGGGCCAGCCATGGTGAATACACTGAAACGTATGGACAGTGCTTTTACAAAGTCAAATCTATATTTAAGCATCAAAGCTGTCACTCACCAGAAAAAGCCACGTCATTCATTCTCCCAACTCCAAAACCACCGCCAGCCAAAGCCGGTATTAGACTGCTGAGCAGTTAAGCCTGGTATTACTGTACAGATTTCTCTCTCAAAATTACTGAAAAATAAAAATCACAAGGTCATTTTATCTTGGAAAACTATCCTGGAAGTCACATACGTAGTAACTGCACTCTGATTTATTTAGTAGGAGTGTTCAGCTTAAGTAAAATCCACAAAGGAATTTTGAATTAAGTTTTTAAAGGCCAATTTCCTAACAGGCAGACTCAGGCAATGTTTTGGAAATGATGTATTAGCCATAAAAACACTAGACAATAAAAACCTGGTGTGATAAACACGTTGAGTTTGGCTGTAAACACGTAAATTTGGCACTGTTGATCCCTAATTTGCTTAAAAACTTGCAGATGTAGGCAAGGTAATGTGCTTTTTTCCCCCCTTTTCTTCCTTCCAGAAAGACTATGCACAATGCAAAATTAAAGGGATGGAGGCCTTGAGTGGGGTATTTCTTCCTGCTCAGACTGTTCCGGTCCCAAGCTGAGCAGTGAATTTGCTGGTAAATTCTCCCACCAAACTGTGGGGAGCTCTATGTATGCTTACATTAAATGTAGAAGAGAATCAAGAGGATCATTTCCTGGAATACAAAAAGGAGTTGTTTACTTTTGCAAAGCACGTGGTTTTAATAACAGCTTGGTGACACTTACTGCGCATTATAAATAGCAGACCACCAGTCCTCTGCCAGAACAGACGCTCTGAGGGTAGCTTCTGTAACCGTTTGTTTCTTCACTGTGATCTGGGCCTCATTTATTACTCCCCTCCCTATATTTAGCCCATTCCAAAGGGATACATCTGGTCCAGGAATATAGTTAGCATATTGCTTACAAATTAATTTGCACAGGCTTTATTTGTAATCTGCTAGGGGCCAGGAACAAACTGTTAATGTCCAGTAAAGGGAAAACCATTTATGATGATGAAATATGGAAAAGAAACAATTTGGCTCTGTCCTGCTCAGCCCCCTGACCTGTCAGTACCAGGCACCCCATTAAACCTGCCTTTTTTTAAATTGGGTTTCATATCAAGAACACAGTACATTTTTAGAGAAACAATACCTTTACTACAAAACCATGTAAATGATTATATACAAAATGGTTACTGGAATTTGGTTTTGTACTGTAGTGACAGAAATAACTAGCTGCCGACATTTATTTACGTTTCCTTAATACTAGGTACATAACGCCGCTGATGAGAGTAAAGGCAAACGCAATCCAGGCTAAGACGAAGGAGTAGCCGTACTGGCCTTCAGTAACATCAATCCTGTATTCACTGCTCTTGTGTAGCTCTTCGTGCCTGTCTGTGTAAATGGAAGCTGCAATCATCACACACAGACCTGATGGAGGAAGAACATAGTCAAGTTTAGCATCTTAAAATATTACCAATACACATAATAACTAGTCACTCCCTCTCTTCTGTCAGCTCTTTCCACCAACATCCTTCCTTTGCAGACATTCATTTGCCATCCTCAGACTGAACTGGAAGTATTTCAGGACACGTTTTCAGTTTCTTTGGCATGGATTAAATGTGACATGTTGTGTGTGTTTATGCCATTTGCAGGGAACACAACATCATTCTGAACATTGAGATGGTTTTAAAAACGAATAAAATTAAGGGAGTACCTGTCTGCAACATTTCCAGAGTTATTTAATCTGTTCAAGAAACTCAGAATCTCAGATTCTCTCTCTTCAAAGTGTAAATGACTTCATTCTGAGCAATGATGCCACCCATGTTTTAACTGCCTGAATAGTACAGAATGAGCTTAAACAAACAAGAAGGATGAACTATGGTCTCACAAGCCCTACAAATTTCTCATGCAGCTCATTCTTTGAAACCTTTTTCCCCTTCCCTTTCCTACTTGCATGTAAACATCACTGAAGTCCCAAGTGTTGAATAAGCACTCACATGACAGGAGCTGGATAATAGAGGTTAACACAAATCTTTCTCCTTGCTTCAGACGGAAGAGTTGGAGAATGAAAACCAGAAATGCCACACAACAGAAAATAGTAGATAGGATCATGGCGGCCTGAACTGCCTGAATCGATTGATATTCTGCAAAAACAAAAGCAGTCTTGATTAAAAATACAGTTTTCCTCTTTGCCTACTCCTGCATTGCGTAGAGGGGCAGAGCTATCAAATGCAGAAACGCTAAATTTGTGTCAGTCTAGATATGTCTGTGCGTAACGGATCATCTCACTGCAGCACAAATGTGCCCTAAACCAACTTAATGCTTGGAAAGCAAGGTTGCTGTAGGGGCATGTGGCTCTTCAGATCATCTACCTCTCCAACATACACAAAGATTCAAGGTGTAGAAATAAAGTAAATGTAGCATTTGAGGGTTTTTTATAAAGCAGGATATTGGGCTGTGCTATTACATCCTCTTTGTTAAAACTCCAGCTTGTGTTCTGGCTTTCTTCCATTTTTTCCCCCATTCCTGCAAACACCCAGTATTTTTAGGTTCTTCAGTTCCAAGGCAAATTCTATCACTTCAGCCACACTTTCAGATGACTTCACTGGTTTTACCTGATCTAATGTTTTAAGAACTCTTTAGCACTGGTTGTTAATTGTGTTTACTCTCTTGCACTGAGCTTTTGAGGGCACCTGACAGTTCCTTCTGTTTTCTTCTTACAGAAACTGTTGGAACAGTTTGCTTTTCCAAAATAAAAAGCCATTATTCAAGTTTTTAGAAGATCTGAGTACTTAGAGCATGCAGATTTTTGAACAAATAGATTATCATCCCTGCAAATTTCATAGCAACCTTTTTTTTTGCTGAAGGAACTGAGACACAGGTACGGAGAGACACTCACCTCCGAACTGATCGGTAATAGCCATACAGGTGCTAGTATTCCTGGAACACATCCTCCAGACATCTGTAAAGAAATTATCTCCTACCCACCAGGCCTGCAAAATAAATAGAATGGGCTCATACAGGGGAAAAAACCCCCAAAACCCACACAACACCCCACCCCAGAACTCCTTAGTCGTCCAAGGGCCTCCTGATCAGATACTCCAGTCAGAACAAATTTCTGTTCATTTTTGATACTGAACTGCTCAAACTAAACTTGAGATCTAATGGCATTTTGGAATAAAGAGCATACCATTACTCACAGGTCATTTTCATTGTAGACCTATGTAAAGCAGAAAAGGGAATAGATGGCAATCTTAAACATCCCAAAACACAAGGGATTTTCCGCTGTTCAGGCAGAAATTTTGGATAGTCAGTGATTGCCCACTCCTTAAGATACCTAGACAAGATCTGCTTTTCTTCATCCAGACCCTGTTTAGGATGCACTACTCTTTAAAGGCACGGCATTTTTTAATTTGCAGGAAATAGCAGGACATACATCTACAAAACAGAAGCCCTTTATAAATTTTCCAGTTCCTGACACCAAATTAAATTAATCTCAACTTAATGCAGCTGTGCTGCCAATGTGCAACTGTAGTGTGTACACTATGGCATCTGACTGGAAGTGCCTAGTGACAAATTAAGATCCTCCTGTGATATTTCTATTTGGATGTTTTAACATTCAACACAAAATGGTACTACAGTGACTGAACAGATTTTTACGGTAGCCTGGGAAATGCCAAGGACTTCACACAAGTGGCATTTCCTCAGGAAACCCTTTCCCTTTCTGACAGCTATCCAGGCCTTTGTTTTGACTAGAGTTGGAAAAATATGACTTTTAAATATGTCTCCTGGTAGCATCTGCAGCTTAAACAGATATCCCAGGAACTGCACAGTTACTGTGCAGCTTGGCAAACAACGCTGCAATAAAAGCTGTGAGGTATTACGATGGTAGGCATGTGTGTAATAGTAACACTGTGTTTTAAGAAAACGCGTTACTTTCCCAGGAGGCCATTCATTTGGATTTTGCAGTCCAAGTTACACATATTAGTTTTCAGTTCCAAGCACTATACAATCCTTTCAGAGTTATTTTCATGACTATAAAAAGCCTCTGAAGATGATAAAATCCAATAGAAGGCAGTTACACAGTTTAAGTTTGAAATTGTTTAAAAGTAGCTAACAACACCAAGCACAGTGCATGGGGTTTTATCTCTATAGTAATTTCATTTGTATGCAGCAGATCTGAAATAAGAGTAAGTTGCTTTGTCGACTATCCTAGCTTTCCAAACATTCCAAGGAGCAGGGTGAGACAACCTGCTTTAGGGCCCAATTAATGACCTACTTCAATGGGACAAAGCAACCTGCTGACTGAAAGGTAACATCCGAGTTTGTACCATTTTGCAATAAAAAGTTGTGGGGAATACATCGTTTCACTTGGATCACGGTCTTGGAAAAGACTATGGGATTGAAACCAGCCTCACTGAGAACAGTGAAGTATTTTCAGCAGACAATTTTTTAAATCTTAAAGCCTGTACATACTGAAAGACTCCAGTGGACAGTTCAGAGATCAGGACAGTGGGCTGGTTTGGAAAGAGGCGAAGTCAATTAAGAGCTAGATGTAAATACTGGAAGGTAAATTCTTTCTGGTGACAAAAATAAAAAAGGAAATTGGAAAAGAGTGCAACATAAATTATTCTAAAATTTTGTGCTGAAACTGCTTCAGCTGAATGGAAACAGATAAATTCATGGTGTCTCTTTCATGATGTAATTGGGCATCTTGGACACACACTTCTCAGGCAAAGCATACCTTGACTGACATTATCCCCACGCATTAATCATGAGCTACCTGACTTCATATACTTGACACGAAAGGATGATAGATTTTCTCCTCCTTTCCCACATATCCAGCTGAACCAAGTCCCATCACCCCACCCTGCAAGTACAGCAGTATTGGTAAATACATTCCCTGGCCAAGTATCTCACTGGAGAGAGCTGCAAAACGAGGTCTTATAACATGATGCCATACAAATGGATGGCATGTACTTGTAACGCCTTACCCATGTACACCAGCAACACGTGTAATCAAGGTATTTCTGTTAAAAAAGGTATACGGAGACCAGCGTGCCTAACAAAGTTATGTGCTTTCAATAAACAAGTTGAAGACAACTAGAGATGCATAATTTCATGAGGCAAAGAAATACATCTGTGCTTGAGAGAAAAAGAGAAGAAATAAGACTTACATTGTCAATAGTTGAGATGAACAGCAGTGCTGCTGAGGTTATATGGAACACAATAATGAAAGCCAGAAGAATCAACATCCTTGATCTGTGGAGGCTTTAGTCTGAGATAAATCTGTTAAAAATAAGAGCAGATATGAAGAGTCTTTAAAAGCTGCCAGCGGATCAACCTCTCATCACGCTATCTCACTGTGGCTGTGCGTAGTCAAGGTCAGCGTGCGCGTGTTTCAGAGCAAGGTGTTGTTAGTCAGAACACCGTATGCAGTTTGAGTCCACAGCACGCGTTCTTTCTCCAGAGATAAAAGATTTCACCTAATCAGACCTTACATCAGCATAACAGCTTTCTGTTTGTTAAATGTGATACGTAACTAGCATCCCTGCTGTTAAAATGAATCACAGCTTGAAATGAAGCCAAGGGGTGCATTTTGCAACCTGCCAGTGGGATGGCTGCAGTGAGTAAACACATAGAGATGTTTCTGTGTGCTTCTCCAGCAAGGATAGCAAACTCCTTCGCATGGACTTTGAGAGAAGTACTTTTCAAATTACAGCCTCATTTGCACGTGAAGCTAGAATCTCCACCGGCTACAGTAAGGTCTGGTTCCAACCATGCTTTCAAAGCATGAAGAAAGGCAGATTTCAACAGGATGGTTGTACAACAAAAAATTAAGTGCATCAAGAGCAATCTAGATTTAGAAGATCAGCTATGTTGTACCTTAGGTCTCATATAGCTTGTCCTTTGTTCATATAGTTCCAAGTTTCATCCACTGATGAATGACTTAGGACTACTGTTTCCTCCACTATATTGCTATGGCTGGTGAGGTTGAATAAACCCATTAGTCATGTAATAATCCGGTAGATTATTTTATGTCAGTCACTTAATAATCCTTCTAGTCTACCTATTCCCTTCACACCTTATCTCACCCATTTATTACCATTTCACATCTCAAATTAAAAAAAAAAAAATATTCTCATGTCATGTACAAAGGAACCACAAACTTTATTTGAACTGGAATCCCTGGGAAATCTGTGGGCACATAACAAACAGGTTAGGGAAAACTAATGCTACTAGTACATAGAAATGCACAATTGCTTGGTATATCTATTTTTCGTCTTCTTGTGTAAAAATGCTTGCCCATGAATATATTCTGCCTTCTACAAGGAATCTGCAGTCTCGCAGGTATTTCCTCTGCATTTACCACGCACCATTCTGCATGCATGCATGCATTATCTGCATGTTATCACTCATCAGTACACTAACGCACGTTTCTCTGCTTCTTTGCTTCGGACACATTCTCTTATGCCAGATGATGCTATTCATGTAACCCAGCAAATATCCCGCAGAAAAGGCAGTTATCTCTCAAAAAAAAAAAAAAAGAAAAAAGAAAAAAAGACTTGCATGATTTTTTTCATGCCTAACCCTCTCCCCCCACTGCCTTTTACTAGAATCACGGAGAATTTAACCAAATAAAAGGACTACTTTGACAGCATTTTTAAAGCACTGGCATTCCCATCAGCCCAAAACACAACTGCTCTGCAGAACCTGAACACCACCAGACAGCACATAAACACGCTGAATAGAGGAGGAGTTCCAGGCTAATCCTTTACACCCACAGTGCAGTACAGCGCTTCACTGCAGCGCAGTGTTACAAGCACCAAGCCCAACAGTGGTGGCAACCTTTTAAGAAAAGGAAAATTGATCAGATAACCTTATATCCATATCTAACTGGAATGACTGTATGGGAAAGCAAAGTCAAATGCTAAGATAAGGAAAGCAGCCACTCAAGTTTTTATTCCTTCCCATTTTCTCACTGTTACACTTTGCCTTCTCAGCCATAACAAAAACCAGAAGCAGTAATTTCCTCCAAAGAGCTGATTCTGCTATATGACTCAAGATCTTCCGAATCTAGTGCTGCTTCTAGAAGTGTTACTCATGGCTCTCTATCAAGCCTTTCTTGAATGAAAGAAAGGAGGAAGGAAGAGAAGATATTTTGTGGTTTTGTGTAATGCCACATCAAAATATTTTCACTGTGAACTGTACCAGCCTTCACACAGCACTCTCCCATCTTGTGGTTGGTTTTTTTTCTGAGTTTCACTTGTTGCACAGAGGGTATCGAAGCAGACAATACTGCAACAGTCATCTGCCATATAAGGAGAGAGAGTCAAATTATGCTCGGTATTATTTTAAGAATAACAATACGATTTCATCTTATTACATGAAGCACCATAAAGTAAGAGAGACAGAAAAATATGACCTAATTAAAACCAATCTTGCAAAATCAAGACTTGCCAGCACAGAAAAATCCACTTAATCTTCAGTCAAGTGAATGTGTTTGTTTTACTGCTCAGCCACAAGCAGAAGTGTTTCAAACAGGGTGGATAAACAAGTATGGGTGATGAGAAGACATTTTATGTTTTACCCAAATAAAGCCAAGACTGAATGAAAGAGCTTTTTGTTTTGTCTTTACCAAAAAATGAAGGACAGTAAGAATAGTTTGATGTTTCTGTTCTGAAGAACCTTCCTAACTGTGTCATTTTTAGGTATTTCCTCCTGACTTGCTGGCAGTAGGTCCCTTCACGAGATGCTACAACTTCCGTGCACACAGTGCTACAACAGCTATATACAGATATGGGAATTAAATACGCCTGGAGAAGGGAAGGAGGCAGACCAACTCCGAGTAATCTGTACCAGGAAAAGACAGTAAGAACTTGTTACACAACCTGTCATGCCTGAACAGGGATCCCAGAATTGCACAGAAAGCTCTGTGGACTTCAATTGCTCCTAGCACTTTCCCTTCCCATGGGGACCAAGAAGTGCCTCTGGTTCACCACAGCCTGCGCAAGGAGTAATGAGGGGAGGAGGGTCTGCCAGCTAAACCTGATGGAACCTGTGCACTGGAAGTGGAGCAGCTCCCTTCTAAGGTGAAGTCAGCAACGACACAGACACTCCTACAGTACCTGCATCCCCCTCCAGGCAGAAATTCTGGACTTCATCTCTCAGGGGGTACTATTAGCAACAGACTATAAGCAACAGTGCTTACTTTAATCATTTATTACTAACCAAACACTTTGGCAACACCCTATTCTGCATACTAAATGTAGTCCTCTCTTTCTTACTCCCCATTAACTGTTTCTCTTCAGGCTTACAACTGTTCCCGGTTCTTCTAGCAGGAGCAGAATCCTCTCCAGCAGTCTGCCAAACCAAGAGCATACCACCTGGCAGGGGCTTTTGCCTCGCTCCTCCAAAATGCAGGGTACCTGCAAGAACAAATGAGCTAGCACTACTGTGTAACCTGGCTGAACTAATTCTGCTCAACAGAACAACCAGCAATTTGAGTTAGATTAAAATCCAGTCATCTTTTACATTTCATTTCTGCAGCCACAAGAAAATATTGCTTAAAAGGGGTCAGAAAATACATTTTTAGATCACAGATATTTGGAGAGTAGTGCTTTCTACTATTGCACCGAACAAGAATCAGCAAACAACTGTATTAAGAAGATGCATAGAAATGATCAGACTCTTCAAATTAAACTTCGGTATAGATGTGTGATGTGATAGGGGATTCTGTAATACTTTTTTCCACTGCTGTTTTGCAGTTGGAAGCCCTGCCCTGTTATTAGTGCGAATACACGTTGCTATGAAATGTTTCTTGCTCTTGCAGGAGTCTTGCTCTCAAATGAACCACTGCTTGAATCTCCTGGTTTAGTCTCTTGATTATAGGTGAGAATATTTGTATTGATCAAAAAAGGCTATGCTCTCAAGTCAAGGTGTTTATGATTTTTGAGTACACTGCCTTTAGGCATGGATGAAGTCTGGGATGATGCAACAGATACTTGTTCATCGTTCCCCAAAGTGGTTTGAATTCTTTTAATAGTTTTTATACACACACACGAGAAAAGCTTTTTGGATTCTACAGTTGTCTTGTAATAGAGATGATGGAGCCACTCTTCTCAGAAGTACATGATGAAAAGACTAGAGGCAACGGTCACAAGTTGCAACAAGGAATATTCCCATTGTGAAAAATGTATTAATTACATTCAGTGAGCATGATTAAGTTCTGGAACAGGGCCCAAGAAGTTATGGGATCTCCATTCTTGGACATCCTCATAACTTGACTGAAGCAAGGCACTGAGCATCCTGAACAAACTCCCTGCTTGGAGCAGGAGTCTAGAGATCTCCAGAGGCCCCTTCCAGCTCTGCTGTCCTGTCACCCTGTAGCTATTTCAGGAATCTCCCTGTACTAATCTCCAGCAAAGCTCTGACAAAAGACAACATAAAATTTGACTTAGCTCATCACAAGTGACATTAAATCCAGATTTTGGGGTTATAATCAGAATGACACTGGATGTCAACATGACATGTCAACATTTTTGCCTCAGTTTTCACCAGCAAGTGCTCAAGCTGCACTGCCCAAGTCCCAGAAAGCAAGGCCAGGGACTGGGAGAAGGAAGAACCACCCGCTGTAGGGGAAGACCAGGTTCAAGACCATCTAAGGAACCTGACGGTGCCTTAGATGGAACCTTGTCAGGTCCACGGGGCCTGACAAGATGCATGCATGCCGCGGGAACGGGCAGATGACTCTGATAAGCCGCTATCCATCCTATTTCAGAAGTCGTGGCAGTTTGGTGATGTTTCCACCGATCAGAAAATGGGAAACATAACCCCCATCTTTAAAAAGGAAAACCTGGGGAAGTACAGAGCAGTCAGTCTCACCTCTGTGTCCATCAAGATCATGAGGCAGATCCTCCTGGAAAGTATGCTAAAACAAAAAATTAAGTGACTGCAACAGCCAAGACAGCTTCCCTAAGGGCAAATCATGCCTGACAAATTTGGTGGCCTTCTACAACAGGGTTACAGCGACAGCGGATAAGGGAAGAGCAACTGATGTCATCTATCTGGACTTGTCCAAAGCATTTGACACTGTCCAGCACGACATCCTTGTCTGTAAGTGGGAGAGACATGGATTTGATGGATGGACCAGTCAGTGAATAAGGAATTGGCTGACTGGTCGCACTCAAAAAGTTGTGGTCAACGTCTCAGTGTCCTAGTAGAGATTAATGAGTGGCGTTACTCAGGGATCGGGATTGGGACCAGTACTGTCCAACATCTTTGTCAGC